AATTAACAAGTTGTAGGAATGAATCCTTCCCCCGCAGTGTCCTGCAGCCCTGCAACCTTCACCTAATTGTTTCAAATATGAAACAATTATCTGGGGAAATGACTGTTACTACATTTCTATTGCATTCCATGTTGAATAACTTTTTGTTTCTATTATAATGTACTTTTAAAGTTTAAATCACATTAAAAGCTTAATTTGTACATTGAGTGAATGATGATGCATTTATATGCCGTCACCGTCACTCACAGCCGCTCGCACGTGTTTTGCGCATGAGCCGCACACAGCCCAAAATTATAAACGGCTTAATCGACCATCGATAGCTTTAATCAATTGCATCGCTTATCGACAATTAATCGATCATCGATTAATCGTTGACATCCCTAGGCCAAACCTATTTAGTTTCTGAGACCAGCCGGTACTGCTGCGCGAGGTCTCTCTTTCCCGCTTCGCACACACCTCTCTCTGCATCTGCTCTGTTCAGCGAGTGGCAGAGAGGATCAGAGCGATTCCACAGTTTCTGTCCACAAGGGGTGTAATGAACAATATAGATCGAATAATACCCAGTTGTTGTCATTTTTTTTATTTTTAGTTCACTATTTTGTTTAAGATAGATGTAAGAAATAATAAAGTTAATTTTATCCCACTAAGCCTTGGCATTATCGTGTAATGAGACTTTATTTTATTTCCGTCCCCAGAAATTGCGGATGTCAGGGTGGGACATCAGTGCATCTGGATTTTTCCTAAGTCATTTCTTTCATTTCCTTTAATAAAATCCTGAATTTTGGCGCATAATATTTATTTTGGTGTGTCTTCTACAAAATACTACTACTAACACTGAAAGTATAATTCCTTTAATCCACCACGATGCAATGGAAACATTTACTAACGTTCGTTACACCTTCTGTCCAAGCGGTTACGAACGTTAAACTATGATTCTAAAGGAAACAGAGATATAATTTCCCCATGTAATTCTATCAGTAGCAAAACGATAAAAACATCTTGTGTGGATTAAATTCTCGTATGCGTTGCTATCTCCTAATGGTTCTCATGTCAGATATAAG